AAAAAAAAAAAAACAAAATTTATTGAAAAAATAATTACACAGATTTCCTTAATTTGCTTCTTTCCAAATAGCTATACATTCACATCCTGATTTTCTCTATTGTAATTTTGCAAAGGACCTTTCCAATACATTTTCCCATCTCAGACAACTTCTTCCTCTCCTGGGTGGCTCAATGCACCTATGTACCTTTTACTTAATACTCCAAGGGCTTTCCAAGCCCCAGTGTCTCTGCCCCTGCCAGTCCCTTACCTGCAGTAAATGGCCTTTTGCCTTTCTCTGTCTGGCTATACCACTGAATTTTGGAAAAACAGTCTCTATGACCCAAATAAAAGACCAGGCACTTACCCACCCATCTTTTTCTGAAACCAACATCCCCCTAATGCTTTGACCAGGAAAAGAGACCAACACATGGGCCTCATAACTTGGCACACAGGACTAAAGGGAAAGAAAGAGGGGGAAAAAGGAAAAGAAACATCTTCAAAAAGGGAGCTCTGGGCTGGGGATTTAGCTCAGTGGTGCCACTGCCTGCCTTGCAAGCACAAGGACTTGAGTTTGATCCCTGGCACCAAAATAAATAAATTATATTAAAAAGGGAGTTCTATGACTTAGAAAATTTGTCTTCTTTGTTTTGTTTTAGGCAGCATCTGGGACAGAGTTGGACTGTTAAAGGTCAAACGTGGCTAGGTGTGGTGCCGTACACTTGTAATTCCAGCATTGGGGAGGCTGAGGCAGGTGGATTGTAAGTTTGAGGACAGTCCCTCTGAGAAACCTGCCAGAAGGGGCCAGCTACAAGGACCATCAATACAGGAAGCTATGTGAGCTTGCTGGAAGGATTCCCATTAGAATAAAGCCTGAACATTTTCCCAGAAAAAGTGGGATAAATAATCAGTTTCCTGACTTTACATGGTGGAGGCTACCAAAAACTCCTTCAATGTCTCAGCTGACCAAGCTGAAGATGATCCTAATGGCCACAGTCATCACTCCACTCTGCACAAGTGCAACATAGCCAGGGGTTTCCCCAACTTGGATGCCAACCTTGTCTGAAGGGGCCTAGGATTGTGCCCAATATACCATGTGGTCCTACACTCAATATACTAGCTGCTGACAGTAAAGTGAGGACTTATGTTTGAAGCACATGTGCTTCCTTGGTGAACCCTGACCACTTAAAGCCAGTGCAAAAAGAGTAAGTCAAGGGTTACCCAGGAAGGGTTAGGATTGATCACACAAGCAACAGGGCTCTGTAATTCTGCAGGCCCCAAAGGAATGGGGAACCACTAAGGAAGGAATCTGTGCTTAAACACAAGTTGCTTAAGGAGCTGGTGATATAGCTCAGTGGTAGACTATCTGCCTAGTATAACTGAGGCCCTAGGTTTGATCCCTAGCACTACAAAAAGACAAAACAAGTTGCTTTGGCTCCCCATAAGAGAAACATCTTTCACCTGCAGCAGGCAGCCCTCAACATCTTCCTATAGATTCTCTGCTTCCCACCTGGTATGGTGTTTCCTAGGGGTAGCTCGGGAGCCTCTCTGGAAATCCAGGCCTCAAAACTTGAGAATCTGACTGGATGAGCTAAGGGCAGAGCAGCCAGAGGCGGGCAACCCCACCTACATTTGGGGCACATGTCACCTCTAGGTGTCAGTGACACAGGGAGAAAGAAGCTCCACAGGATACCATCTTGCATAATCAAATGAAGTCAGAGCTGAGTCAGGATCCAAGGGAAATAAGCCCTAACTCTTCAAACACTAGGTGATACAAAGTCTTTTCTAACAGTAGGATATTTCAAAACTAAAAAAGGTGTAGACCCTGTCTTCCAGCAAGTCCTAGCAATAATACTTGAAGGGTATTATCCAACCAATCAGAGGTGAGAAAAGCAGATTTAGCTCAGTGGTGCCACCTCCTGCCTCACAAACACAAGGTCCTGAGTTCGATCCCTGGTATTCCCCCACAAATAAATAAATGAACTATATATAAAAACCCCTGTGAAGCCTGGTGTGGTGACACACGATGCCTCTAATTCTAACACTTAGGAGGCTGAGAAGCTCAGGGCCAGTCTAGGCAAGCCCTATCTCAAAAAGCCAAAAAAAGAAAAGAAAAGAAAAGAAAAACAAAGCATGGTAATACATCCCTATAATTACAGAACTCTGGAAGGCTGAGACAGAAGTATCACAAGTTAAAGACCAGCCTGGAGCCGAGCATGGTGGTATATGCCTATAATCCCAGCACTCCAGAGGCTGAGGCAGGAGAACCGTCATGAGTTCGAGGCCAGCCTGGGCTATATAGTAAGTTCAAGGGCAGCCTAAACTACAGAATGAAACCCTGTCTCAAAGAAAAGGAAAAGAAAGAAGAAAAAAAAAAGCCAAGCTGGGATAACGTAGGAACTTAGCAAGACCCTGTCTCAAAATAAAAATAGAGGGCTGGGGATTTAGCTCAGTGGTGCCACCGCCTGCCTCACAAGTGCAAGGTCCCGAGTTCAATCCCCAGTACCAAAATAGCAATAACAACAACAACAACAACAACAACAACAACAACAACAACAACAGAAAGTGTTGCGGTACAGTTCAGTGCAAAGGCCCTAGGTTCAATCCCAAGCATGGCAGTGGGGAGTAAGAAGGGAGCAGAATCATTTTTGTTCACAGATAACATGTTCTATATAGAAAATCCCAAGTATCGTGTTTTCTCTCTCCCTCCCTCTCTGTCTCTCCTGCCCTCTCAGAGTTTATAAATTACGTCTCAACTCTCAGTTTATCTATATACTAACAAGTGAACAATCCAAAAGGGAAAGGAAACAGATCCATTTAAGAGCATCAAAAAGAATAAAATATTTAAAACTAGGCAGGGTAACATACACCTATAATCCCAGCACTTGGAAGGCTGAAGCAGGAGGGTAGTGACTTTGAAGCC